AACCATATCCATAATTATACATTGAATTAATTTTAGGGTGATGCTGGACAACATTTTTGCTTTTTTTTTTATACAACTTTCAAATGTCATTAAATGAGTGAGGCATTCAATATCACAGATCTTAAATGAATTAAAAAAACTAATCATTTTAATGATACGTTAAATTATACAAAAAGATGAGATAAAAAGATTATATAAAAAGCATTTCCCTTAGTATGTTAAATTCCTACTCTGTACCTGTGGTCCCAAACCCCTATTCATAGTTATTGAGTAAATTAATCTCTTAGTCTGAGTCTCACCATTTATGTTAGTGTAAATTACTTTTAATATGTATTTTTTTAAAAAGAAAAGGATTGATATATATTTTGATTTAATATACTATATAATATATTTATTAAAAAATTATATTTTTAAATCTAAAATTTAAAAAAAAGATAAATTTAAAAATATAATTATGCATATAAGATATAGAAACTAATTTAATCGATTATATGTATATTATATTTTAATAATTGAACTGAAATAAATATTAAAAAATATGTTAAATCAAGTATATACTAATTATCTTTCTTTAAAAAATTAATATTTATTGAAGATTGTTTTAAACTCATTCAGCACTCATTTAAATTTAAAAAAAAAAATCTTATTGTCACAACAATTTTATACATATTGTTCAATTTTAAATTATGGTTCATGTACCCCATATATATATATATATATAAAATCTCTCCTAAGTAAGATGGACAAAAGGTAGAGGCACAAAGGAAAAGGAAGGCTGGCTTGAAATCACAAGTATGCAAAGAAAATAAGGAGGTGTTAATTATAAGGATAACTTTTTTATATAAATCTTTTGATATAATTTTTATATGTCATTAAATGAATGGATGTATTTAATATTATGAGTTATACATGAATAAAAAAATAATAATTTAAATAATATATTAAGTTATATAAAAAAAGTGATAAAAAAATTATCTCAAAATAATTTTTCAAAAAAATAATGGGAAAATACTGCATAGAGTTCCCAAAAATAAAAACCGGCAACGTTGTTGATTTGTACCAACCTCGATCATGTATATCCAATGTATCCATTACTGAATTCCTTCCAAGAATCACCAAAATATATCTTGCTTCTAAAAAGAATAATATCATGCTGACAATTACGAGCCTCTTCGTCTCTATATATACACATGCATGCAAGGCTTTGACACTGCAAAGAATTGAAAGACCATCACCATTGAAGGCGAATTCGGATACTAAAGATCTGTTCTTAATTTCCGTTTTAACGCTCTTCAATGGGTCGCATTAGCCTTGTTTTGTTAGTCACTTTTCTTCTGGGGTTCATCTGCCTAGCACC